GCCTGGGCAAGGGCCCTGTGCACCTCCAGCGCCTGGGCGAGGGCCTTGTGCATCCTCCAGTGCCTGGGCGAGGGCCCTGTGCACCGCTAGCGCCTGGGTGAGGGCCCTGTGCATCCTCCAGTGCCTGGGCGAGGGCCTTGTGCATCCTCCAGTGCCTGGGCGAGGGCCCTGTGCATCCTTCAGTGCCTGGGTGAAGGCCCTGTGCATCCTCCAGTGCCTGGGCGAGGGTCTTGTGCATCCTCCAGCGCCTGGCAAGGGCCCTGTGCACCTCCAGCTCCTGGCAAGGGCCCTATGCATCCTTCAGCTCCTGGCAAGGGCCCTGTGCATCCGGCAGCGCCTGGGCGAGGGCCCTGTGCATCCTGCAGTGCCTGGGCAAAGTCCTTGTGCATCCTGCAGCACCTGGGTGAGGTCCTTGTGCATCCTCCAGTGCCTGTCGAGGGCCCTGTGCATCCTCCAGTGCCTGGATGAGAACACTGCATTCTCCATAAATAAGCACTGATCCTGCCAACCAGGACACTGAGACCGCGCCACCAGCAGCATCTGGTCAGTGAAGCCAATGATGGGCCTGGGAACATGGAAAACTGGTTTTCTTCTTGGTCCTTCCACACCAGACAGCACAGACAGGAAAGAGCCCCCTGGCAGAAAGGCCCCGGGACGGAATCCCGAGGAGCATCTGGGCCCTGAAGCAGGGAGGAACCCGGCCCTCACCGCCTTCACCTGGCATCATAATAGCTTGCCAACCAGCATCCGCTCACAGCTCATTTCCATCTGGACACAGATTCTGTATTTGTGAATTTCCACAATAGCAGAAACAGAAATGGATTGCACACAAAACACTGATAATAATATCAAGATGTAATTAAATCGCTATTCAAGTGACATCCTTCAAAACATCATCCTAATAGTTTCCATGATTTTCTCTGTTTTAAAAGTCTATAGCTTTTGTAAAAGTGGACTGGTTTCATGTTTGCTCTTTTTAAAAAATTCTGTAGACTATTAAGGCTTAAACAATAAACCTAGTGAATCTTCGTACCTTTTGTGGAAGGGGCAGTTTTTCAGTTTATGCCCAGGATCCAGTGCGTTACTACAGAATAATGCACTTGGGGCTCGGCTTCACTCCCTCTCCAGGCTGAGCACCATATGCAGGCTCTCTCTGAGTTGGATGAGCAGGTGTGGGGAGCTGGGGCGGGGGCAGCCGTGTCACAGGCGCCTGGTTAGTGTTTACTGGTCTGTATGCAAGGCAGAAGAGCTCTGGGCTGTCACAGAATGTTCACTCACACCCCAACTTCACCTTTGTACCCCTCATCCTCACCCCAATCTTCTTGCACGTGTCTACTTCACATGAAGGGGTTAAACAGTGACCACAAATCCAATTCAGTGTAATGCACACGATTCACCCACGTGGCTTGGTACAAGGCACTCCAGGCACTGTTCAGTGCTGGGTTTTTCTGTAGCTTTCCACGGGGAGAGCAGTGCGACTGCGCACATTGTGCCTTCATCTCTCTTCATGCTGAGGGAAGGCTGGTGTCCCTGCCTGGCCCTCACAGTTAGTGGACACGACTAAGAGACCCTGGTGAGATGGACACAGTCACATGCAGCTCTCTTCATCTGTACCTTAATGCTTGTGACAGTCGTCTCAACCCTCTCCTCAAATGATTTGAAAGTAGGAGAATTCCTAAAATAACAAAAAGAGATAGGTCAGCTGACAGCCACCCAGCATCCTAGCGTCTACACTGTTTGGGTCTTCACTCTTATTTCTAAATATCATCTTTCAGCAGAGCCAGCTCAGCCTACAGCCGACACCAACCATGTTTTAAAATGTATTCCACTTCCACTAAGCTAGGTCTGTACTAGACATGGGATACCGTAAGAGCCAGATATGCAACTGTGGAATAAGTCATACAGCTTGTGACAATGATACAGCTCTGAAAATGCCATTAGTGCATCATACATCATTCCTAATGAGTCAACAGAGTGATGGCTTAATTTGTCATTGACTAATAAATTGCTTCTATCACATCTTTATAATTCATAGTTTAAAAAATTTATATTGTAAGCAGCAGAAAAAGTCTCTGAAGAATGTCATGTTTGACTTTTTTGGAGTTTTAAAGTTTCTTTTTTCAAATGTGAGACAAGATAGAAATAGCTCAAGGATGGGAAAAAATTCCTACACTTTTTCTTATCCATGCCTTAAAAAGTAATCATTTTGACAAGTTCCATGAGAAAGTGTTTCTGAGAGTTAATGCTTTTGTTATTTCATGTTGAAATACACCCATGACCTAATGTCTTCTGATTAAGTTGTGCTCATAGCATATGTTAGTTTTCGTCCCCAAAGGAGATACCTTGTTCTCTTATCAGGGCCTTTGAAGCTTCCTGGAGCCTCCCGTGTGACTCCTTCAGGGTGGTACTACACGCCATCGTGTTGCTGTAAGTGGACACACTTAGGTCGCTCGGCGTTCTCTGGCTCCCTGCGCTGGGCTTGACCATGTTAATATTGCAGTTAATATTACGGTTTATTGCTGCTATCACTGAGTGCAACTCCAGAAGCAGGAACTGTGCTACTGAAAGATGCAACTTAAAACTTACATCCATGTCGGCTTTTGGCAACAGATGCCATTATTTTTAGGTCAAAGAATTCAACTAAAAGTTACTACATCTCATAGGCCACTGAGTGAAAAAAAGGAAAAAGAAAATGATGAAGGGTCCAGAGGGGCTTTCGAAGGGAGCATGGTTATAAAATGTGTCTTTCACTGTAGAGTTCAGAGTGAACCAGGGCTTTAGTACTATCATGAGGTGACTAATATAGAGAATACATTTTGGGTGAATTGGGCTTTATTGGGAATGATCCCTGGAGAATCCAAAGCTGAAATGCACTTAGATTCAGACTACATAAATTAGCAGTCTTGTGGTGCCAGAGGCCACAGGCATGCCACCAAACCCTGTATGGCATTCAGACACTGGTCACCTTCCTCTGAGTGATGCTTCGCATTCATGATGAAACATTACTGCAGTTACGCAGAGTGGCTCAAAAGTAGAGGCTGAGGCACGCCCTGCCACTGCAGGTCCCATGTCACCCATCAGTTAGTTCGTGGGCATGTGTTAGATTAGTGAGATCAATTTTCCTTTTAAAGTTAATTTCAAGAAGTTCATGAGATTGCATCTGACATAGAAGTCCTGGTGTATAGGGAATCCTACTGCACAGAGAAAAATCACGTTAATTTTTTCCATGCTTTTTTTTTTTTGATCCTCAGACTCAAAATTTGTTAAGGAAAGAAGCTCAATGTCTCAGGCTGCCCTATGCTTTTCAGGGGCTCACCTGCCAGGAGGAAAAAATTCATGTGAAGAAGAACTATACAACCTTAATTCTATATTCCTTATTTGCCACTAAGTACAGAAAACAAAATACGCTACTGTGGCTGAGTTTCCAAATCATTCAATAAACCAAAAAACTGCGATGTAGAAGAGACATCCCTGGATGGAAACGAATAGGCATTCTAAATCACACTTGGATGCCTGCTGGGGAATAGGCAGGGGAATCTGTTTTATCCAGTTGACTCAGGTCATGTGAGACCACAAACCTTTAGCGGTACAAATGGCCCTAGAAGTAGTTTGGTATCAGCAGTCACAAAGGATTTGAAGTAGTAACTGAGCCCCCACTGTGAGCTTTCAAAGCACAAGTCCTCCTGGGAAGCGGGCACCAGAGGCAGTTCTGGTTAAGTGGAGGGAGGGCCCAGAGCCCAAGCTGCAGCCTCAGCTTACTGCAGCAAGGGCAGCCAGGCCCCTGAGGACCCTGTGAAGGGCAGCAGATCTCACCCTTCTATGTTTAAATATGATGAAACAGATAGCATCCAGGTGGCTTTTACCACACTGCCATGGTGGTCCCTGGCACAGCTGGGCCACAATCTGCCTCTTCTGGTTCCCAATCCTGTGTCCCGCCCTCCGGACCCCATTTGTATCAGTCTGAATTGATCTGGTTGTATCACTGGGCCATGCAACCTCGAGCCTGGGAATGTCTTTCTCACAAGTTTTCAACTGGCCAGTATTTTAACTATATCATTTAACAGGGACCTATTTACCTGAGAAACCTAAGGACAGCCTATCCTGTCTAGGACAACAGCCTCCTAGTCTTGTAGTCATTGTTTAAGTGCTCTGCTGGGCTTGTGTTTCGTTCTGCTGCAAGATGACATACCTCACCACCCTTGCAAGGGTTAAGGGGTCCCTGTGCTGTTTCAAACAACTTCCTCTGTTTTGACCTCACTACATCCATCCATGCAAGGTGACCCTTTGTTCTTGCACTCTTCAGGTAAGGGACTGGAGACTGAGGTAGCCTAAGTCACACAGGAAAGGCTGTATTTTAAGATAGGATGTGTTGTGAAAAACCCAGGCCCACTCCATCTTCCTGCAGAACTTCTGACATTTCCCCAGAAGACGACCAGACAGAGGAAGAGGCAGAACATGGGCCTTCAGCTATTTCCATCCCATAAAGCAGTGGGGGAGGGAAGCTCCCACAGCAGCCCCAACTTGGTGACCCTTCACACACTTTCTGTGTTAATCATCTATAAAATATTTTACACACATTACCTCATAGCAGGCATACTTATGGAATGGCGAATGGAATAGCTGCAGGACAAAAAGGGGGAGAAGCACAATATAAGTAAATGAAAAACTTCCTCTTCACATTCTAAAACAGCAATTTTAAATATCAGAAGTACCCCTGCCCACTCAATCAAGATGGTTTTCCTTGGGCATGAGGAGACATAGCTTTCAGCGCTGTAGGGAAGAGTGGGTAGAGAGGCCATTACTGGGTGGTATTTTACTTCCTCTTTGTAGGGTCCCTACAGGAAGTCCAAGCGCCTGGTGCCCCTGCTGGTCAGCCCCATAACCCCTCCAGGTCCAGCTTAGGTCTCCACTTCATAATGCCATTTGCGCCGGTTACCATGGAAGGCGGGACTTCCTGTTTGTCTTGCTTCCTCTGTCTAGAACATCCGTGCACACACACAAGGTTTCTGAGAATCTTAAGAGACTCATCCTCTCAGTCCTATGGATTGGGTCGTTTTCCATTGAATCCCACTCAGAAATCAGGCAGGGCAGAGGGTGGGAACAAGAGGGACGCCCGTGTCCTGAGCTGATGCTTGGGCCCCTGCCCCACTCGTCAGTGTAGTCTCTGCTGTCTCTTCTCCCAGGGGCACAGTGAGTCTTGGGTCAAGTGTGTCCCCTGTCCCAGTGTACTCACTCAGGCCATCAGTATGGGTGGGCATCCTCTACTAAGATATTCAGGGAGTATTTGTGGTCTTAACTCTAGACACTCCATATAGAAACTTTGGACAAAACATCTCCTCAGAAATTGCATTTAAAAGCCATCACTGAAACAAATTCAGCATTACAAATCCATATACCTCTTTAAATATGAACAACACTTAGAAAACAATAGTTTATATAAAATTCTAGCTAAGCTTTGCTTAACTCAGAAGCCACAAATAACTGTTGCAATCTTTTTAACATATTTTTTCCAATAACCTTTCTTCCGTTGGACTTTAGAAGGTACAGTAAGTTGAAGCTGAAACATTATAGTGCAGAACTTCATGCAAAAAAAGTGTGCGGGAGGTGTGGTGGCTTAATTGTATCAAACAAAAAGAAACAAGGTGAATGCACCATTTTGCTGGTGTCCACATTATAGGACCCAGTTTCTTTTACTGATTTAAACACAAAACAAATAAAAAAAAGTGTACCTAAAAACAGAAACAAAAGCAAAAGCAAAAATAAAAATAAACAGTTGGGAAAAGTCAGAGAAGCTCAACAATTGGGAGGAATAAGTTTTTCTTTTTCAGTTTAACTTTCTGAAAGATTTGTAAAAAATACCCCACTCTCAATGTCAAGGATTTTTTTTTTTTTGTTTGTTTTTGTTTTTGCGGAACCGGGGATTGAACTCAGGCCCTTACGCTTGCCAGGGAAGTGCTTATTTTACTGAGCCATCTCCCTGGCCCCAAGTTCAAGGGTTTAAATGTTCCTCTTTTGATTCCGAGGACCTATCCAGTCTAGGAAGAAGTGAAGCAGTGAAAGCGGCTGCTCAGCAAATACAGCTGGTGAGGACGAACAGTCCGGGGGTGGAGGGGCTCCTGGGGGAGGTCCGGCGCCCTGTCAGGCTCTGCGCTCTGGCGCCGCCTGGCCTCCTCCCTCCCTGGCTCCCAGCGCGGGCACGCTGCTTACCCGATGGAGTGAGACCTGCGGCCCGGCAGCAGAGGGAAAGCAAGGGCAAAGTTAGCAGAGGGCATGCACAAAGGCCACCGACCGCCCCTACCATCCCCTCCCACGGGCTTAAAGGCGAGACCAGCTACCCGCCCACCCCTGTCCAGAGCACCCCGTGAGCCCGCTGCCTGCCAGGGCCAGGCTCCCGCACCCCTGCGGCGCCCAGGCCAGCGGAGCTGAGCTCAGGTCCCCTGTGTAGCACAGAACTTAGGACCTCCAGCCTGGTCCTCAGGCTCACCCAGGGGAGGGACCGCTAAGTGTGTGGAGAACAAATAAACATCTTCTCTCCAGGATAACGGGGGCTGACCTCGGGCCTTCCCTGTTCTAGGGGAGTATTTGTTTGGACCAATGTTCTAATACCACTGAAATGGTTATCAGTTTTCCTTGCAATGAAGTCAGCTCCTCCGTGCCAGGTCCGGAGGATCTCGGTGGGTTCTGACAGCGCAGCAGCAGACCCCGTGCCCGCGGCTTGTGCCCCTGCTCTCGCTGCACTGTCCTCTTCAATACCAGCTTGTTAAGATGGTTCTCGAATGCTGGGCAAAATCCAGCCATTTGGGAGGTCAAGACAGAATTCAAACACTAAATATAGATATTTGCCTTCGGGTAACAATAGCTTAAGAATCCAAAAAACAAATGCACTTGGATTTTTCTTTGAGGTTCCTAGGATTGAGCCTAAGACCTCGCACATGCTAGGGAAGCAGTCCAGAACCGCAGCGACGTCCCGAACTCGTTCTATTTTTATGTTGAAGCAGGATTTCACTGCATTATCCAGGCTGTCCTCAAATTTGTAATCCTCCTGCCTCAGCCTCCCGAGTAGCAAGGGTGAGCGTTGTGTGTCACCACAGCTTGCTGCCACAGAATTTTCAAAAAGAAGTTAAATACTTCGTTGAAAAGGTTTCTTTCTTTCTTTCTTTCTTTCTTTCTTTCTTTCTTTCTCTTTCTTTTTTTTGTTAAAGAGTGTGAACTCTAGAGAGACTAATGAAATTGATTTCTAAAGAAAACTTCATTGAGGCACACTAGCTAAATTCAAAAAGTACAGTAATTCTGTGTAAGATAACTTCCCTGCATATAAGAGAATAATTAAAACTGGTCAGTGTTACATATTTTTTTAAAAGTAAAATGAAGACATTTGGTTCTCAAGTTCAAAATCTGCCTTCATGTCCACCCTACTTTTATTATGCAGGAGAGAAGTATGAAAAGGGATAGCACAGACGGTGCTTATTTAAATGTCTTGCTATTATCACCAGGCATGGCAGTCCACGTCTTAATCCCAAAACTTGGGGGGCTGAGGCAGGAGGACTGCTGCAAATTTGAGGCCAGCCTCAGATACATCATAAGACCCTGTTGCGAAAAATAAATACATAAATAAATAGTCTTACTATGGCTAAGTGCTGGGTGATAATGGAATTAATAAAAATAAAATCAAATATATTAATATTTTGCTAAGGTGAAGAAAAAAATGCCAGGTGGTTGTGCAGTATAAAAAACTGCGATCTAGAACAACTAGTGGCAGCAAGGCGCTCCGAGCTTCCGCGTGCGCTGAGGTTTCAGATCAGCAGGAATCGGGAGGTGCTGCCGCCTGCGGAAACTCCTCCGAAAGAGAGCTCTTCTGCTTTTTTATTCGTGCCCTGACCGCTTATCCCTGGGGCCACACCCTGCACCCGGCCTGAGAGCAGAAAAGCTGCCCACGCGCGGGCCGATCGCGGGCGCCGGGCAGCGCCGCTCTCAGCCGGCCGGAAGGCCGCAGAGCGCCCGCCACGCACCGCATGTCCCCGAGCTTCCGGCTGAGCGCGGTGCCCACGTTGCTGAGCGCGGCCGTGGCCTTCTGCCCCGCGTGGCTCAGGGTCTCCTGCGTCTTCTTGTAGCTGGAAGAAAAGGGAGCCGTGGTGAGCAGCGCGGTTTCGTCTTGTTTCATTTTGTATTTTTATGATCATCTCTGTAAAACATTCATCTTTATTCTTTCCTCATACTTTGAAAATTCCTTTTCCCAAAGAGATGGAGGAAGAAAATGATCCGCAGGACGCTTGTTTTATTTACTGCCGGGGGATGGTACGTGGGCTGCGATCCTTTCAGTCTGGGTTCGGGCAGAATGTCGGTCTGAAACCCAAGCTAAGCGGGCAGAGCTTTGGGCACCCATAACAGAACTCCTGGAGGGGACTTATTTTTAAAGAAGAGAGCTGGGCATCATGCCGATGCCTGAAACCCCAGCAACTGGGAG